CCGCCAAGCGCCATAAATCTCCTAACTACTCTTAATAAGCTCCAGGGAATTAGCTGAGGATGTCTAGCCCTTTGCAAGCATCACAATGGCCCCAACCGCAAGCGCCGCGCGCGCTCCATAAAGCTGTCGCTTGGCAAGGTTCGCAGCAGACGCCCCAGTGAGATTATCGGGTGTCGACTTCCATCTGGCATTTGTTAGAGCTGGGAAAAAGGAAAGAAAAAAAAAGGCAAAAAAAAAAAAAAAAGCTGTTCTTATCAGATTGTGAAATAAAAAGAGCACTTCCACTTCAAGGGGCAGCAACTGGAAAAACGTCTTTGTGTTTGGAGCTTTAAAAATATCTCGCCCTTGACGTTGGCTAAGTCTATACGACGCGCTGAGCCCCCTTTCCCATGCAAAGGTAGTAAAAACGTAGCTGATGGTTACAGACCTTCCCAGCACATAAAAATTACAGGAAGCTGTTGCTAAGTAATAGTGCTACCTAAGTAAACACCAGCAGCCGTTTCCCACACACACCTCTGAACTTGGCTACTCAAACCTGCCTGGGAGATGGTCACAGTCACGGGGCTCCTTCTGGCACCCTGCTCCCAGCGCGCAGCAGTTTGAAGGCACTTCAGGCTGGCCAAAGCAAAGGTTTTGCTGTGCTCCTGCTGCCAGGAATCCCAAGAAAGCTCCTTAAGCTGCTTCTCAGGCTCTTACCTGTCTCTTCTTTCCCATCCCTTTATTTTCCCTGCAAGGGTCACGAGAAAATTGAGACCTGCTCTATTCTCCGGTCCTTCTTGCTCTATTCTCCAGTCCTTGCTTCCTATACAACCACAGGAAAAAAAAAAAGAAATACACGTGCGCACACACACACTTTATTTATATATATAATATATATAAATATATATATTTATATATATAATTATAAGACAAAGCATCATTGTTTTTATGCTGTACCTTCCTTTTGCATCTCCTCTGCATGCTAACTGCACCAGACAGGCATTCCTTCTACCCACCCCATTTTCTCAGCTAATTCCCCACTTGGCTCAAAAGGTTTCAGAGTTTCTACCTCTTTTGATAGGGTTGTAACTTTGCAGTGAATTCTAGACGTGAATCTCTTGGTTTTATTGCACAAATGAAGACACAGATCAAAGGAGCATCCACAAGCCTGCAACAACCAAATCAATAGGATCAAATAACTCAAACTCCTGCCTGGCTGAAGCCCCAAGAAGAACAGAATCCTGAAAAAGTTCCATTCTAGGTAAACAGGATAACTAGAATATCATCAGTCTCTACAAAATTGAACTCATATTCCAAATATTCATCCTTACAATCCAGGAACGCAGCCTTTCCATAGTCACAGGAGACTCCCTGATATTACAGATCATTTCCTTGCACATTTTTATTTGGCCATTCTCTTCTTCCTTCCTAATACCTTTTCCCACCTCCAGAGGACTCAACAGGCAACTAAAAGGCCAAAGAGCCTTTACAAAGGGGCCATCAAAACCAGGAGGCTGCCCCACAGTGTGTACAGAGAGGGAACTGGCAGGAAATCCTATTTCTTTATTTTTACAGGGAATTGTTTCTCCAAGCGGCGCGACAGACATATAGCGTTTTTATTGCATAAAAAAAAAGTCACGTGGGGAAAAAAATGCAAAATACGAAAATCATGTTTGGCAACTCTGAACTGAGGTCTAGGACGTGGCATTTCCAGCATTTCTGTTGTCTGAATTCTTCAGGAGAGTCGCTCGCTGTGTGAACATACTGCACTGAACTAAGAGCTGTATTTTTATGGTAGTGAAAATAAGCGTAAAAGAAAAGTCTTATAAAAATGGGAGCTGAAAGAGCAAAAATCCTCCCTAATAGACACAGCCCTTAGCTGCCACAAACAGCATAAGGCTTGACCCACATTCCAACCACACTCCCCTTGCTCCTTCTTACCCAAAATGCAAAATAATTTGAATAGCCTTAACTGAATCAACTTGCTCTTCACACCTACACAGGTAGGTTAGGAAAAAAAAAAAGGAGATAAAACTTCAGTTGAGGAAACACCTCCTGACCAACCTCTGCAATACCCACCTACGTGTCCTTGCGCTTAAAATACAGATTCCTCAAAATTACGGTTGTTCCCAGCGTGCAGCTGCCCACAAACTGTTCCAGTTCCTCAAAGCCTTTTTTATGCCCAACCTCAGCCCTGTGACGAGTAAGAAAAACCTTTTGCTTTGTTTTCCTGAGCGTGTTATCACTGACCGACAAGTTTCTGGGCCAGGGTTAGGGCTGCAAGGCTGATTCAGCGACTTGGAGGGCTGCCTTGGAGAATTCCCTGCTGTAACTGATAGTTAGTTCTGGAGTTAACGGGGATTTTTGGACGCATTAAAATAAAGCAGCGCCCCAGGCGCGCGCTCGGTACGAGCCTGGCGGCCCCAAGGGGATGCCCTAGGCAAAGCGACGGCGGGAAACGGGCATGGGGAGGACGGGGATGTTGTGGATCCCGCTCCGATCCCTATGGATCAATTCTCCCTCCACAGGGGCTCTCGGGTGCTCGCCCTGCCCTCCTTCCCTGGGCATATTCACAAGCTTCCCGCTGATCCGAGTCTCTTGGCAAAAGGGGCAGGAAAGTCTCTGTGCCCTGTCACTGGAAATGGGCACACCTTCCCCAACATCAGAACTGCCAGTTTTTAAGTGTTCCTTAATCTTCTTTTTCCAGGATACAAACCAGCAAGCACGGTAACACTTGGCGAGCTCGGGGCTTGAGGCCACTGCACTATCGAGGTGGCCGGATCTGTGAGGCAGAACAGCAGAGGGGATTCTGCTAGGAATCCAGGATATTACAGGAATACTAAGGATACAAATACCAACAACTTGTGCAAAAACACCCATAAAGAAACAACAAACTCATGCCACAAGAGGCATCCTGCAAACACTTCATTTCATCCCAATATTGGTTAAAAGGACAAGGGCTGAACTAGAGGAGCACAACATTGAAAAGCAGAAAGCTGGGAGCTGCTCATGGAGGCGGCGGCGGCTGCCACGGATTCCCGCACAACCTGCAGAAAGGCAGGGAAGGAAAAGGCAGGGAAGGACGCGGTACCATTAATGCTCCCAGCGCCAGCTGGGAGGTTCTTCACGGAAAGCCAAAGCACAATTCACACGAGCTTAGAATAATCTTGACAAAACAATTACACAGGCTAAGAATACGTTAGGGCTGGCACAGGAACAAAGAACGCAGCTCTGCCACTAACAGAAACGCTAAATAAACGCCACTTAATCCCTAGCAGGGTTATTAGGGTGCCTCTCTGTGAAAATTTTTGCCACTTAATACTAATCAAACCCAGTTAAAACAACGCACGGGGCAGGCAGGTGTCGCAAGGCAGCACGGCGGCCCAAATTCCACCTCGCTGAGAACACCACCCACCAATAAATCAAAGTCCAAATATTACCATTCAAAACAAAAAAACAAATTAGGGAAAACAAGAGGCCGTCAAGTGCGTGTATTTGAAGACACGTCTCGACTGCAGCCTAGGTTGAAGTGTGCTGCTTCTCTAAACCTTGTAAAAGGAAAAGGGAAAACCAAAGGAAAGCTTTGGTATATTAATCTGAGCCGAATGATTTTAAAAGTAATCAGAAGGATATGCTTAGCTTGGCTTCCTTAAGGGACTTAAGGAACTTCGTGTGTGATGATGTGGGGTGTCCTCCAATAAGTTTAGCTGAACTTGGATTGGAGGCTCAGGGGCTGAGATTTCGGTGAAATACTACATTCATACGTGTTTCATGGAGACGGGCAGAGAAAAACTGGGCATTCCAGCTCCCTGCAGCACAGCCACAAAAAACGGGCAGGAATGAGACACACCGTGAAGCGTTTAGCCACAGAAAACGCTTCAATTAGATCTCGCTCCCCATTAAATAACAGAAAACACAGGACACGAATGCCCAGGAAATCAAGTTTCAGTGCCAAGGACTGTACATCAAAGCAATTTAGAAATTAAAATCACCTATAGATTTACTTTTTAAGAAAGGTATATGCGTATGTTTGCATGCTCATACCCTCTTATTCTAGAGATATAAAGCAGCAACTTTCTTTAAAAGCAAACCAGACAATTTGAGGTGTACAGCAGCGGAGGGGAAGCCACATTAATTTCATTAGTTTATGCAAACTGCTACGAATTTCTTCTCAACTTTGGCACTTGGCACTCAGAGTTACCCTTTAAAGCTTGGCAAGAAACTCCCCCAGCCCACAAGTTTCCTAATTTCATCTCAGGACACACTGCTCCATGTGGATGCACTACCTCCAGAAAGCCAGACAACTCTCAAGGTGTCAGTTTTACCTCAACTGCTCCCCATCAGGGCGATTTAATATACGTTTGCTTTGATTTATGTTAAAAATGAAACTTAAGGACAGATTTGTAGTTACACGGTTGGAAAAAACAAGCTTGGAAGAAATGAATTCAAATCCCATTTAAGAGTCAAGAGTTCAGGGCTTTCAAAAGCAGCAACCTTCCTGAAAATACCAAGACCCCAGCCTGGAAGTTTGGCTATTCCAGCTGCCCCACAGCTCCCGCTATGGACAATCCCTCTCCAAGGTCTTTTCTCACTTTTCCCCCATCCCCTTTCCAAGTCTGATCCAGCTTCCAGCTCCTTATTCTGTGCAAATGCTGCTCACTCACTCACGTCTTGCACTTTCTTGCTACAGAATGAGGAAAGGGAACTGCTCCCTTTCTGGATATACCAGTTACACTCATAACCTGTTACACTTGGGAGCTGTCGACCGGAATCAAACATGTTTGGGAGGCGGGAAAACACTTTGGGATATGGTATTCACATATATAGAAAAATTGCTGTAACAACCTAAGTGCAAAGGCCTCCCCTTCCTCCCAGCCCTCACCTACCAACATACAGGTAGGGGAGAAGGAATGTGTGTTTAAGCAGCGGTTAGTGGGTATAAATATCCTCTCAATAGATCTGGCAGGTTAAAAATGGATGGCAGAGCTGCACACACAGCATCTACCATCCTGCAGACCTACCTCTCTGGCAGCGATCATGGGTCCAGCAGCGTTCAATGAAAATGCCATTTATTACAGTAGGTGGACAGTTGCTTTTCCCCTTCACAGTTCCCGGACACACGTCCCCGCACTCCTCTTTGTCGTCCTTGTTGGCTACGATGTAGTTGTCTTCTACGGAATCCAAGATCCTCGACCAGTCAATGGTGGACAAGTAGCACAGCTCGTTGTTCTTCTCGATGCGCACGGCGCCCCGCGTGATGTTCATCAGGTTATAGAGACCAATCTCCTTCAAATGAACCATCTCAAAAATGACCAGCGCGTAATTAAAGAACAGATGCGTTCCTCGAATCACAGTGAGGTTGGGGAAAAGCCCCTTTAAACTCTCCAGGCCATACACACGAAAGAGCAGCAAGTAGTCTGTAATCATCGTCAGTTTAGGAAAGCTGAGCTCACGGAAATCTTCAGGCTTGGTTTTGAACATCAGCAATATCTGCAAGTGGCCCTCGATCACCGTGCAGTTCTCGAGCATGTTCAGCCGCGTGAGGTTGTTGCGAATGTCCATGCTTCTGCAAACTGTAAAGCAGAGAACAACAATTATTTGAAGGCTCCAGCCTTCCAAAACAGACACATTTTTTATAATCACACCACAACACAGCAATGCTCAGAACATATAGCTAGATTCTTTTCAATAAAGCAGGCTGCAAAGTGTTAGGAAGTACACTGTGGGGAATGCTCCCTGTTTTATGATTACAAAATAATTCTGAGAGCATTTCATAATTTTCCCTCTGCCATCTTGAGCTTCTGGGTATTACTCCTATCACGACCGGAGCTGGAACATTAGTCTTTAGGCGTCGCTTGGCATTTGCAAAAGGAAGATGGGTCTGTGCGGGGGGGGGGGGGGGTCTGTTTTCTTTAGATAGTTGCCAGGGACACACCTACCTCATCTCAGATTGTGCAATTAATGCCAGCAGATTAAAGGGAGTCATTTAGGGAGGGAAAGCTAGGAAATGGCAGTATTCCAAAAGAAAAACTGGAAATATATCCCTGGAAATATATACACAGAAGAATACGGCATATATTCTTGCTCAGCCTTTGCTGACAAGAACACCCCATTAGTAATGATTGCCCTAAGCAGGCTCTTCAGATTAGATGGGTTTTCTTCCTATATTCTAAAGGTTGCAAATCTCCCCGCTTCAGCTATTGAGACAATTTATTTAGTAGAATCAATAGGCCAGAGAAAGAACTGGCAAACGGAACAGCTACATCCAGCACAAATTAAAAGGTAAATAGAACAATTTGAATCCAGACACCAGCAAAACCTGGAACAGCAGAAAAAAAATAAAAAGAAAGGAAATATTTGGATTGGAAACAAATTATATTCTTAGCATAAGTAGGAAAGCGAGAATGAAATCTAGAGCACAGCCCCTTCAAACCAAACTGGAGAAATACCCAGCCCGACTCCAGGGCCAAGGGGGAATCGCTGCAGAAAGGGAAGCCTGGCTGCTGGATACAGGGGCAAAATCCAACCAGGAAAGTTTTATCCAAGAACAGGGCAGCTCCCGAGAGCTGAAACGGGACTTTTAATCTTGTGTCACCGAGTAAACGCCACCAACTCCAAAGTCACCATATCACAGCTTCAAGAAAGCATCCAGCAACCAAACCTTACAAGGCTCAAATATAACAGACATTTAGTATTTATGGCTGCCTGACTCCCTGTAATTTCACACAGACCACACTGTAGGGGTTAAAAATATATAGTATGCAAACGTCTTAATGATTATTCAAAAATGTCCTTAGCTGCAATTTAAAAAAAAATAAATCTGGCAACGCTAATACAGGATTCAGTGCAATGTTATTGCCCAACTTTTTTGGCACTACGTACAAGCTGTTTCAGAAATTGCTTTCTGCAAGAAAAAGCTAATGCATGGTGCATCAAAAAATACCTATTTTTTTAAAGTGGCAAAGAAAATCCAATGTCCTGTGAAAAAAACTGCAGGCAAATTGGAAGGCAGTTGAAGGCGCATTGCTGCATATCCCAATCGTGCAATAAAAAACTGGGAGAGCAACAAATGCCGTTCAAGGAAGTTCCTTTCATATCTATTTTAAGCAATTAAGACAGGTACTACCAAGGACGCAAGTGCAGGACAGAGAGGACCCCATTCTACAGCAGAAAGGTTCAAACAAGCTACCACGTTTTGCTCAGCAGTATCTAGGAAGGCCATTTATGCCTCAGTTTAAATCAGAGCAGACAGTAACTACCTGGTAAGATAAAATCCACCTTCCTGGTCCTTAGTGACTGCTTAGAGGGTGCCCTGGTAGAGCACGGCGGGTTGAGGTGGCACCAGGACCAACTGCTACGGCACCCGATAAAGCACTGCCTTGAGCAATTTGAACGTATATAGCCAGCATTAAGAGACCCAAAAGCTTAAAAAACACAAAACACCCCAAACTCACCCCCTCCAAATAATAATTACTTCCAAAAATAAAACCTCCAGGCTTTTATTGTGGTCCAAAGCCACAAGATGCATCTGTACCCCAAGCCGAGCTACCCGAGGGTTTCATCACTTCAGCTAGAAGCTCCCGGCCGCCGCGGGCCGCCCCCAGCCCAGAGGGCTCTCCCCATTGCTTGGCGAGACAGATCCTTGGAAAGAGCAGGAACCAAGACTTTGAGGAGCGATCCCTCCCCTCCAGACATGGAGAAGCAGCCGAACGGCCTCAGGCCTCAGTGCTCGCGAATCGGCTCTCAACCGCTGCTGTTTCGCGAGGACCACAAATGCAGCTTGAGACAGGCACAAAGCGGCTCAGAAACTTCCCTCCCTCTTCCAAAACACACAAATCCAGCCGTGGGACCTCCCAAACCTCTGGTTCCGCCTCTCCCGAAACACATCCCGCTGCAGCTCCCCAGAGGGGAGCCCAAAGCAGCCCCCCGTTTCCTCGGGGGATGCCGAGGAACAGGCAGCTACCACGGGACCTAAAAAAGGCAGGGGATGCTTGGGAGTAAACAGCAAAGCATTAACAGTTAAATAACCACATTAAGAGTTAAACAACCAAATAAACCCCCCGGGGCTGCAAGTACCCATCCACAGGCTGTCGGTCTGGCTTGCATCTTGGACCTATTTTTGTGTTTTTGGCCCATTCTGAACTCTGGGAGAGAAAGATTAAGTTGTGAGCGGCGCTGCCGGCTCCAGACGGACAGGAGATCCCACACGCCCCGGCAAACAGGGAGCCGACCTTCGGGATTCAGACTTTGCTGCCTTTAAAGCGGAGCAATAACGGGGTAATAAACTGCGACGTTGGCTGCTGTGTTTAGGAAATTCCAAAACTGGGAGCTACTGCACAAATCCTTTCAATGGAAAGCCCTCGAATGCGGCAAAACTGGCGCTATATTGAAGCTCGCGTGTCTTTTTAAAGAAATCACAGGTTTGCTGCTGAAATAAGCCCTGACTAAAGGCACAAACTACTGTAAATCTAAAACTAAAGGTATTTTTACGTATTTTTACATATCTATAGAAAAAAATTCACTTTATATTTCACATTGCATTCTAGTTTAGGTCTTAAGTGCTAAATATCTGAGCTGCCTTTTTACTGCTTCAGGATCAGGGAGATGAAAATCAGAAATTTCTGATAAAATGGGCTTTTCAGCTGCAGAGATCGCGGCCCTTTCCTGCCCGTGAATTCTCTTTAGCCGTTCACATCTTCTCTTCATGCGGTAGCTGCTCAAGCCACCCCTTAAATACGCTGTTACCAAGACAACAAAAAGTAGTTTTAAGCAAAGTAATACGTGTTTTCCTGCAGCTTCCCTCAGTAACACGGCTTCTGCATTATTATCTAATGGGGTAGTTATTCAACAGCTCAGTATGAGAGCTGGTTAGGTCTGGTCTAGAAGAAAGACATCAAGACGGAGAAGTCAATTTTAAGCCCATCTATTTGCCAAAACACAGAAAACTGGGAAAATTATCGGATGGGGTCTCTAGCAGTAGGCCCCAGACTATTCCTGTTGAAAATTTAGGTAAATTCTCCACTAAACTTTATCATAAGGCAGCTCCTCATGCAGGAAAACAGCATTACTATCAGAGAGGAAACACTGCATCCCTAGCTACTGAGCTATACAAAGTAGCTTAGGGAGAAAAAAAAAATATATATATATATAATTATAGACACAATTTCATCAGACCTCCAAGATACACTTTTTAAAGCTAAAAAATAAACAATCAAGCGGCCAAGTCTTTTGAACAAACTAGTTTGGTAACAACCTTAAAGCACTGAATGAAGAAACCAGATCTGATGTCCAAGGTTACCTTTCAAGATACAGTCTAAGTGGGGAAATATCTGGCACTTAAGTCTTGTTTATAGTAAATGATCTGGATACCGAAGCGTAATGATTCACTGCCTCGCAGCTCTGGCTCTGCTGCAGTCTGGACCAAGACCACAAGTTGGGTTAATTCAACATTTAGGAAGTGATCGTTGTCTACTTGAATAAACGGGTTATTAGGAAAAGCAGTGCTCGTTTTGATGAAGTCAAAAGATGTATTTCTATCTAATGTTGACTCTTAGGGGGTATCAGGCAATTGGAAAAAGGCTTTCCTGTGTTTTGGTGGATAAGTTTGGTGGATTTAGATCAATGAACCCCCCTGCTGAACTCGGTGCCTTTTCCTCACACCTGGTTTGCTATAATATCACACTTTCCATGTCAGCATTGAAACAGGAGCAGGAAAAGGAAAGTTTTCTACTGCTACGTGTTCCCTGCAAAGACAAAACCCGCGGAAGGGAGAGTGTCTCGGGATGCAGCTCAAAAGCACCCGTATCATCCGCTGCCATCGCAGCGACGATGGGAAGGAGAGCACGGTCCAAGAGCGACAGGGAGGGGAGGACGGCACAGGGAACGTCGCACTGGGGACCAGGGCCGCTGTCACCGGAGAGCAGCGTTATCAGGGAGTATGGGGGACACATCTCGAGGAAAGCGGCTCCAGCAGCCCCGCTGAACGTCTCCCTTGTTTATGCGATTATCACACACGCGTTCGCCCGGCCACGCCGCCGTGGGCCTCCACGTGGGCGCCGCTTTCGAGGCCCGGTGTCCTGCGGCATCATCTAACAGTGCACAGAAAGCGGGGCAGAAAATGGAACCGGAGCAGCTGCAAATCTCTCAAATTGGGGTCCTCGTCTCCCCACGGGCCTGCGAAAGGTCTCAAAAGCGTCTGCACTGCGGGAAGAGCAGCAAAACCTCCCGCCCCAGGCTTTGCCCTGCTGCAAAGCACGACTTCCCGACACACGGCAACGCTGCAAAGGTTAAGCGGCTGCAATCATGAACAGACCACCCAGAAAAAGCAGAATATGAAAAAAAAAAACCAGACTGACCGCAGTGGTGCTATCAGTGTTTTCAAATTTGCAGTCTCTGAACTAGTTATTTTATACTTATTTGCTGTTAGCGCTATTCACCACTTATATTTTGCATTTTGCCATTGGAGAGGGGCAGGTTTGTGCATCCTCGCTAGCTAGAGCTCAACATCCTGGGTTAAAAATCTCAGTTTTATTCCCTCTACATTATCCATATTTCAGGCTCGCAATGCCCGAGGCTCTACCCACGAGCCT